GGAAAAACTAGATGGTACCTGGCTGCCACTACAGAACACGTCCATCAAAGATTCTGTAGAAGAATCCTGATCAAAAGGGGGAAACTACAAAAACAAATTTCAAATCATGGACTCAGGGAGGCTGGTTGAACCCATGAAACTATCATCTCAAGATAAGCTGTCAACCTTAAACCAAAAATGCCTCCTGAAGTCATCTTAAAACTGAACAATAGTTTAGGTTAACGGAACAACAGTTTGGGTTAATAAAAAAATGTAAGACAGGTCTGCATTGAACATTATGTTCTTGTAAGAACTACCCATCTGGGATAAAATGGACAACAACCCTAGAGGGCAGTGAGCACAGGAGCAGCTCAGGAATGGAGGTGACTCCGCGTGAGATGTCAACTCGGGCCCCATCGAGGAGCACGCCAGCACGGTCACTGAGGAGTGGAATCCATAGAACCCCAGTCTCGGAGCCACAATCATGAGAATCCGGTGTGCATGAGGTGATGGACGGCAGTGGGGGCCCAAGACTCATCTGTGGAATGGCAGAGGTAATGAGCCTCCAGAGAACCCCCTCTCTGCCACCGAGGGATGGGAGGAAAGCGGTCACTAAACCGAGAGCTTGGGAGAGAGCGGTATAGAAGAGCAAAGGCATTAAGCTGACCTAAACAGTTAAAACTGTGTCTGTAAATCCCCGCTACACTGCATGCTGCACCTGATCTGGTTTCCACATTTTTCTGTATTTTTTGTTTGTACTGTTTTCTTTAGTTTTGTTTGTTCACAGTAGAGTGTATCTCAGAGGTGTTAGGTCAGTGGGACCACCCTCTTGAAGCTGTTATATGCGTTTCTGTTTTGAACCGTCCCGCAGGTCATCAAACAACGTGGATACCTGAAAAAGGGACTGGGAATGAAGAGAGGCAAGAGACGTGAGAAATGGAGGCAAGACAGGAGTCTGATCAAGCCTCGTTTATTGAGCAGAAGGCAGAGGCTTAAATACCCAATGGTGGGCGGGTAACATTACATCATATGCTAATAAAGTGTAACGGGTAGTATCCAATAATCATGCAGCTACAATATGGAAGAAATGGCAGGCATCAGTCCTCAAACAGGTCCGCATGCAAATGAGGTGCACTTGGACGGTCTACATGCAAATGAGGTGTACTTGGATGCCTGGCGGAGGTGTCCAATGAGCATGGCGGCTGCCTGCCACCGAGCACCAATCATCACAAAGGCCAAACTCAGGCAGGACAATAGGCCAGGGAACATCCGGGAGTGGGAAGCTTAAAGACAGCGGACGGCGCAGGCCATGGGCTGAGGGACGTGCAGACTCCCACACTGTTTTTCAGTCTATGAAACCCAGGATCAATGAACTAGAGGGACAGCGAGCAGAGTAAGGGTCTCGGAGGGAGGGCGGTACATGGTGGAGGTGGCGCAAAAGGGAGATGATGCCAAGGAGTCCATGTAAAAAAGAATGCTTGGAAACTGTGATAGCAATTATAAATTCTACTTGATGTGACTGAAATGTGGAATGATGGTATATGTACCAAATGCCAATTAATAATAAATAAATAAATTCCACATGGCTTCAAGCAAAAAAAGGAAAAAGAAATGGAGGGTAAGAATGTTGCACAGTTCAAATAATGTCATCAATGTCACTGTGTTAGTCTGGATTGACCACAGAAACAAATCCAGAGACACTCGTATGTGTATAGGAAACAGTTTTATATAAAAGAGCAATTGTATATTGAGAAAACATACCAACCCAGTCCAGATCAAATCCGTAAGTCCAATATTAGCCCATATGTCCAATACCAATCTATAAATTCCTCTTCAGATTCACGCAACACATGCAATGACACTGAATGCAGGAAGATCACAGGCCAGTGGGTGGAAAGTCTAGTGGATCCAGTGGCAGTGGAAACATCTCAACACTGGCAGGGGTCTCCGCGTGGCTCCTCCAGCTCCAGGACTCTAGCATAGCTCCATGTGTCTTGTCAGCAGCAATGTCTCGCAGGGAGTATGTGTCCCGCCTCCAGCAAGTTATTGATCTGCTTAGCGCCTCCAAATGAGGACATCAAGCTGCAACTTGATTGACAGACTAAACGCCACCTCTTCACTCTTAATAATCTCAAGTTGACCACAGATTACATAACTACCACAGTCACCATATTACACATCAAAACGATTGCATTGGTATTTGTTTTGCTGTGCTGTACAGTCTTGATAACAAAATGGTAAAAGTTAGGGGGGAAAGTGGTTGTTTTAGACATATGAGGGGATACCCCAAAAACCCTGGAGTCGCACGGGCAGAGCGGAGCTTTTGTAGTGTGCATTTTTCCTGCTACGCACGCCTTGAACACTCGCTCTGAGTTAGTGCACCATGGCGTCACCTAGGAAGGTTTTCTCTGATCACAGTGGATTTTTTCATAAAAGCAATTTCGCTAGAACATCATTTTTTATGATGGCCGATTTAAGAGAAGAGAAGAGTGTGCGGCTGTGAAATTTTATTTCCAGCTCAGGAAAAATGCCACCGGAACTGTTGTGATGTTGAACACGGCTTACAAGGATAGCGCTATGATAAAATCTCAAGGGTGTAAGGGGGGTTCTAGATTCAAAAAAGGTGAAATGTCAATCGATGACAAACCTCGTTCTGGGCGTCCGTCAACTTCCTGACAGACAGAAATGTCAACCTTCCACCAGGTCAGGCTGTTCATCAAGCTTTCTATTTAGAGGTTCTGGAAAGATTGCATAACAGTGTGTGACAAAAAAAGGCCTGGTTTGTGGCAGGTGGGGGGACTGGTTTTGCCACCATGACAATGCACCGAGTTCTAGCAACATCAATGGACAGAGCCCCTCGGAGTGGGAGCCCCGAGCAGGACCCTGAGGCAGGGGTGCCAGTGAGCAAGGATGCCCATGTGTCCTGGGGTCACCCTCTGTGAACAGGGCCAATGTTGGTTAAGAGGCCAAACACACAAAGAGGATCCAGGACCCACAGTCTGGAGCTGCTCAGAGGCATTTAGGGCCAGGAAGGAAAACTGAACCCAGCACAGCGGCACCACCAGGTGAGGCGCCACTGAGCAGGGCCATGACCTGACCCAACCAGGGCAGAGGGCCTGTCTAGTGGTATTGCTTGTCCATCACAGCAAATGCTTGAGACCAGTGCCCCGAGGAGGACATCGTGGTTGGTAAAGTCATGCAAGAAGACTTGGTCAGCGAAAGAGAGGAAGACCCTCAACCAGATGGATGGACACAGTGGCCGCCGCAGGGAACCCAAACTGCACAGCCACGGGGAAGCTGGTCCAGGACCAGGCAGTGTTTCCTTCCGCTGTGTGAACGAGCTGCTGCGAGTCAGAGCCGACAGGACAGGCCCGAACCCGCCACAGCACCAACCACGGCAACACGTGTAACAACACGTTACCACGTCAGCAGTACCACAGGGGCCGTGTGAGGACATTACTTGTGTCCATCATTTTCAGCCATTGCTCTTATTAGTTCTGACATTTCCCCGTCGTCCAAACGGCTTTTTGTTAAGATGTGGTCCCAGCACCTGACGTCACAGTGATCAAACAGGGGCTGTCAAAGGGCCCGAGGAGTGCTTTAAACACACTGCCCCTGGGGCGGCCACTGTGTCCATCCATCTGTTTTGAGACTGACAATGGCAACAAATGTACAAATGTGCTTGAGCCATGGATGGATGGATGGATGGATTGTGATAAGAGTTGTACAAGCCCCCAATAAAATGATTAAAAGAAAGAAAGAAAATTAAAAACATACGATTTTACAAGGGGGCTATCACTACCCTCAGGAGAACACTAACGTGACTCTCCCGAGCAGAGGTCTTAGAGAAGCAAAGGACAAAGGGCACCGTGGTTGGAAAGCCGAGCTAGAAAGGAATGCCTGACACGGAAGCCCTGCGCTCCGGCCCACGCCTCTGTTCAGAAGAGGGACCAGAAATGTTAGGTACTCAGACATCATGGCCCCTGAAGATGTTCTCTGGACCTATTCAGAACAGATGAGATTTGAGAATTCACTCACTGTCCTGCATGGGATTCTCCGCCTCGATTAGCCTGGGGAGCTGCCCAGCCCAGCCCAGCCCTCTGTGGGGCAAACAGGGAAGGCATGAGTGCTCCCATTTGACAGATGAGCACAAGTGAGACGTGGGCCAGGGAGTCAGGCTGCTCGTCTCAGGGGCCCCCCTCCCAGAAGCTCTCCCTGTTTCCTTGGGCCAGGCCAGGGCCCTGTATGAACCCCGTCACGTCACAGGACGACGGTGCTGTGACAGCTGCGGGGGACACCCTTCAACCAAACCACGTGAGCCTGTGGTTCTGTTCTCTGAGCCACCGCCGCGGGTGTCTCCTGCCTCTGGAGATAGGCCCTCCGGGGCCGTGCCGAGGATAAGGCAGGCACTTCCGCCGCTTCCTTCCTCTCTCCATCATCGGAGCCGCCCCACGCGCGCTCATCAGGCCACAGACAGAGTCCGGACCTTCACAGGTAAGCACCTCTCTGCCTTCCCTCGCTAGCACTGCCTGCCCCTTCCCCTCAGGTGGGTGGGGATACAAGACCTGAGAGAGGGGGTGGGACCTCTCAGGCTCCGTCCCTAACTTGATCCCCCTCGATGACAAGGCTGGGTGGGGTGCGGTGTTCAGGGGGAGATGCCAATGCCTTGACTCCAGCAGCGTTTGTTTATGCCTTCTTGAAATTGTCCTTGGAAACCTAGTCCAGGCCAGGCACTGGACTTACCTTAGGGAAGGGGTGCCCGCTCCAAGGCCTGTCCTGTTCTGGGTTCAGGCCTGGGGCTTACTAGGTTATCGCCCCTCTCGGGAGGGGCAGAGTCTCTGCTAGGGGCCAAGTTCTTCCCCAGAACTTGCTCCAGTTACCTCCCCACACGCATCCCTCCTGTCCGCCCCCCCCCCACCCTCTGAGCCCTACCACTCTCCCACCCCCTGCCCCGTTTCCCATCCTCATCATCATCCTCCAGTTCTTCCCCGCTGACTAACCACCACACCCACCTTCCACCTTCAGCCAGAGCCCACGCACTGTGCCCAAGCCGGGCACACCCCACGCCACTTTACAGAAGTAGAAGTGAGACCAAGAAGCACAGTAAGTGGCCCCTGGTCCCCGGGCTCAGTGCCTGTGGCTCTCAGGGTAGGGACTGGGCCCTCCTTCACACCATTTTGCCCTCCGACAGCTTTCAGATGCCCACCTGGGGGACCCTGCTCCTGCTCGGGGCCATGGTGGAGGCCGTCAGGGACTGTCCCAAGCCCTGCACCTGCCAGCCCCTGGAGACCATGGGGCTGTGGGTGGACTGCACGGGCCAGGAGCTGACGGTGCTGCCCACACTGCCTGCTCACACCCGCCACCTCCTGTTGGCCAACAACAGCCTGCACAAGGTGCCCCCAGGTGCCTTTGACCACATGCTCCAGTTGCAGACACTCAGTGTGGCACACAACCCCTGGCACTGTGACTGCAGCCTCACCTACCTGCGCCTCTGGCTGGAGGACCACGCACCTGAGGACCTGCACCTTGTTCGCTGCGCCAGCCCCGGCCCAGTGGCCGACCGCCCGCTTGGCCAGCTGACTGGCTATGAACTGGGCAACTGCGGCTGGCAGCTGCAGGCCTCCTGGGCGCCCCCCAGCATCTGGTGGGACGTGGCACTGGTGGTCATGGCCGTACTAAGCCTGGCACTCCTGGCTGGCCTGCTGTGCATGACTGCAGGGCCCCAGCACTGAGCCTGGCCCTGTCACCCTGAGGCCACAGCCCCCAGTGGCCCCAAATAAACCAGCTGCTCTGCTGCCTTATCTAAACTGCGAGACGTTCTTCCTCTTGGCACACGGGTCTGTCGGCCCCACTTCAAGTCACGGGGGCCCCTCTGCATCAGAGTCCAGCTGCTCCATAGGGTTTCCACCGGCTGCTCAGATACGGACCACCGGGCTTTTCTTTGGGACTTTTTGGAAATAAATCACCAAGGTACTCTCGGTACTCAGGACCCTAGGGGTGTAGTGGGACACGTGTGGGGCTGCTAACTGCAAGGTTAGCAGTTCAAACCCACCGGCTGTCCCATGAGGGAAAGATGAGGCTGTCGGCTCCCATAAAGATGTACAGCTTCAGAAACCCAGAGGGGCAGTTCTACTCTGTCCCCGAGGGTCCCTCTGTGTCAGAAATGACTCCATGACAATGGGTAGGTAGACTCGAACTGCCAACCTTTCGATTAGTCGCTACATGTGCTGACCATCTGCAACCCTCATGACCTCCCTCTGTAAATCTGGATTCCTGTTGTCGTTAGAGGTAAGAACTCCATCATGCCAATCTGCCATTCCACAATCGCTGGGGATTCCAAGTCCGTCTGCTGACCTGCCAGGAGCTAGAGGCGCTGGCTCTCAGCCTTCCTGTTTCCCAGCGCCCGCTCCCCTCGGGGCAGCCCCAGCTACTGTCATGGAAACGCGCAGTCCCTCTGTAAGCTCCACACAAGGCTGCCCTCACAACGCCATAGGAGTCAGAGCGGGTCGCGCTGAAAGCCCTGGAGGAAATAGGGGACACTGACCATAGCTTCTAAGACTTCATCCTGCCCAAGTCCCACCCTGCCTCCTCTTCTGCTTTCTTCGTTTCTCTTCCTCAAACTCTCTTTCTCTTCCTCCTCTCCCCCTGGGGGCTGTAACTCTCTTGATGAAGAACAAGAAGGGAGGTGGGTGTCCTGAGGTCTGCGAGCCCGGGGAAACCTTGGTCATTGAACTCAGCATCCTCTCAAGCCTCCTATGCAAGGCCTGTCAATCACTCCCCCCAGCAAGGCCACCACCACATGGCCACGTGCACACCGCAGGCCCCTGCCATCGACCCCAGCTCCAGTCACGCGGAAAGCACCTCCCACCATGACCAAGATGCCCACCCCTGTGACTGCTCCAGGTCCCCGTATCTATTAAAGCCCCCTCCTCATCACCATCACCTCCACTGTCACCGACATCCCTCCATCACCACCATCCCAGCAAGCGCCACTGAAGGAGCCACCATCAGACCCCTCCCCCCACTCCCGACGGGCCAGTCACCCTAGCACCACCAGCACGGCCCCCTCGTAGCCAAAACACCGTTCTATTGTTGCTTCGAGCTCCCCCAACAGCCCCAAGGCCATCCTCACCCTCACCCCCCCAAGGCGTCATCAGGATCCACCTGCGCATGGAGAAGGGCTCCGGGTGGCGAGGGTATGACAACCACTGGCCGATTCTGTGGTTTACTGAAACCACAGTTAACTGCTCACGCTCAGCGTCTGACCAGTGGCTCCAGACGGTCTTTGGAGTCTGGTGTGGCTGTGACTACAAACACCACAAAGGCTGCCTTTAAAGGACAGAAATGCATTATGGGAGACCAACAGCCCATATTCGGGGTGCTGACTCTAAGGGAAAGCTCTTCGGTGTCTCCCTCGGCTCCAGACCATCGGCCCTGGGTGTCCTCAGGCTGGTAGCTGCATTTGTGTCCGGTTTATGCTGCTCTTTCGATAACACAGCATGCAGACGGAAGGCGGTTAGGACCCACCCTACTCTCGCCTGGCCTGCGTGGTCATCTGGTGCGACTGCTTCAGAGGGGCCTCGTGGGGCTCCCTTTAACAACCAAATTTCTTTCACCACAGCTTCTGGTGGTCGCTAAGTGCCCTTGGGTTGGCTCCAGCTCACAATGGGGGCAACCACCTTATCAATCCATCACGGTCAAGGTCTTGCTCCACCACCACCCTCCTGTCCCAAGTCTGATGTCCTCCTCCTGCTCACCTGTACAAAGTACACGAGAGAAAGTCCTCCACGCATCACTTCTGAGGAGCATCCTGGCTGGGCTTCTTCCGAGGCAGATCGGTCTGTTCTGCTAGCACGTGGTGCAGTCAATCATCTTGGCCAACACTCACACCCCGGGGCATCGACTTGTCTTTGGTTGCCTTATTCGCTGACCAGCTTTTGCATGCCTGTGAAGCGACTGAAGCTCTTATGGCTTGGAGCAGGGGCCCCTTAGCCTTTGAGGCTGATATGTCAAACTAGGTGAGAATGCATTTCCCTTCTATCTCTAAAAGAGAGGAGCCAGCCGCGGGCCTTGTCCATTCTGAGCAAGCAGCTGCATGCATCAATGACCAGGCCCTCCCCCTGGGGACACTAGGCCCGGCCTGACCCCAGGGAGCAAAGCTCATTGGTAGTCCCCCTGAAGAAGCTCCCGGGATCCCCGGGGGGGATGTGGCTGTTAGGAGAACCGGGTTTAACCTCTGTATACTCACACGCTCTGTTAAGTGCACTCGGACCATCCATGGTAGGGCAGTGGTGGGTAGGAAGAGATGAGAGAAAGTGGCCCTCCACTCTTCCCAGGAGACCAGGAGTCTGAACAATGCCATCTACTTTGGGCTCCAGGAGTCCTATCCTCCTCCGCCCCTTGTATTTGTAGACCACAACCCTTAGGCCCCACCACCACCACCACGTTTCAGCTGGACAAGCGATACCCAGCTAGAGGCTCTCCCCACGCTTTTGCTGCTAAGAGCTGAGAGAGCGTTCAGGCCACTGGGATGGGGATGCGTAAGAGTGATTGGGTAGCTCCTAAGCCATCTCCTTCGAGGCAAAGCCACGTCCGTGCCCCTTTCCTTGAGGATAATTGAAACCGTGGCCTGGGGCTCAGAAATGGATGCTTCGTCAGGGATAGCGCACCACCAGCATCAGCCAGCACCCTTGGAGCACCTCATGGAGCCCCCCTTCCTGCCCTCTGGGATTACCCCTGCTGCAGGACTGCTGTGAGAAAGCAGCAGACATCTGTCCTATTCAAGGCACGATGTTCTGGGGTAGTCTGTTACAATGCCACATGCACAGCTACTGACTGATGCAGCATCACAGGGCACGGAGCGAAGCCACCGCTCTAGAACAGGCCTTCCCTTTTACAGAGGTCTAAATGCAGGCACATACATATGTAAATACGTTCATACATAACAATAGGGAAATAGATATATGCACATATATTTATATGGTAAGTATTAAGGTAGCAGACAATGTATGTATGTAAATATATTTACATATAATGATAGGGAACTAGATCTATGCACATATATTTATATGATAAGTATTAAGGTAGCAGACAATGTACATATGTAAATATATTTACATATAATGATAGGGAAATAGATCTGTGCACATATATTTATATGATAAGTATTAAGGTAGCAGACAATGTACATATGTAAATATATTTATATATAATGATAGG